AACAAAAAATTTAAAAATCTGGATTTGTTCAATTTAGATCCCGTAAGAGAACTGACTCGGTTTTTAGCATTTTTTTCTATGTACAAACATTCGACCTTTATAGTTTTATTATACATATATGTATATATAGATAGCATAAATAACGTATAATAAAACAGTGATATATAATAATGAACATAATTATAGCGAGTGTACCTTTGGAGATAGACATATACTATTGAGAACTTTTCTACTTCTTGTTTTTTTTAGACTTACAATTTTTTTGTACAATGTTTTGATCTATCTCTAAGGGTAGCTAGCGTTAGCTACATAAATTTCTAAGGACGATTCGATGGAACCAGTATTTGTTGTTGAACTGTGGTAATTAATAATTTGCCTGTCGTAAAAGGTATCCTAAATGTTGACCCGAGTATGTGCTAAGTTATCACTATACATAAAAACTTATTAATAAAAAAATAAAAACCGACTTCAAAGAAAGCACTCAAAAGTAAAAAATAACTGATTGATAGCACAGAGCACAGTACCATTGATAGTTTTCATTTACTATACATACCTAATTAAATATTTTCGTAGTCGGTGTGCTTTGATTTGTATCGGCTTACTTGCATGCGCACACACGCACACACACAAACACGCATTTACACACACGCTCACGAACACACACAAGTACAGACACACACACACACTCACACGCAAACTCCCTCACACACACACGCACGCGCGCACGCAAGCTCGCACGCACGCTCGCACACACACACACTATTTTTGCTATTATTTTTAAGTTTATGCTACTTTTTATAAGTTTTTGTTAATATAAGAAAGATTATTGAGTTGTAAACATTTTTAAGAAATTTTCTACGGAAGAGCGGGACATCCTAGCACAGGTATGTATATATTTACTTAAAAGGATGTCCCAACAACGGACTTCATGTATTTGAAAAACCCTTTTATTAATAATTCATTTTTATTTTTTTTTCAACTAAAATTCGCTTTTATTAGTAACACTTAAAAATTCTGGCTCTAAAATCCGATTCTAAATTGTAAGGCTTGTCAAATCAAACAAATTAAGCCGAAACTGAAAGTATCTACTATTAGCCGTTGTAGAGTTCCACCTATCCACCTTCTGGCCTTACCATCAGATCAGGTCAACGGAAATAGAAACACTTGCAAAGTTTTTTTTTGTACCTATTTATTCATGTTTTTAGTTTTTTTTTAAAGAAAATTGTACTTTTTAACCAAAACCTCCGAGCGAAGGTCGGTGGCCCAGATACTATACTTAAATGAAGTACTTATACCTAAGCAGCACTTTACGTGAAGCGGACTAAAAAAAAAAGTGATGTTCTAAAATTCTTTCATCTATACATATATATATATATAATAAAATTCTAACTGAGTCAAATCTGTAAATTAAATATTTTTTGGAAAATCTTATTGAATTAGAGATTATTATCGATACAGAGGCCGTATCTATAGTTTTTAGAATTTTTGTCTGTCTGTCTGTTTGTTACCGCATCACAGAAAAACTACTGGAGGGATTTTGATGAAATTTGGTATGATCATAGCTGGTTATCCGGGTCAACATACAGGATACTTTTTACCGCGGGAAAATATCTCATTTCTGTGAAAAAAATACAAAAACTGTAATGTAAGAGACAAGAGTATACTAATATGTAATATCTAAGAATTTGGTTTTTGGTCATTCGCAGGCAATGCTAGTATTAGATAAATTTATACTTTTATAACTTCACATAACTAAATAATCTTGTCATTACACAAATAGGCAATGATATATAATCAATATTATTGAAATATAATCAACATTTTAATGTTTTCACCAACCCGAACAACAAGTGAATGGTATCTTGCTTAGTGCGACATGTACACACTTTAATTCATTTATATCCTAAACTTATTTAGATCTCTTTCTACAATTTTTATTTTTATGGTAGTCTTTATATATATTAAGCTTTATTTTACAATACAAAAAATATATTTAAAATGGTCAAAGTTATTAAAAAATTTATTAGAAATATTTACTTCCGGTTTATCACTAGAAAAGAAATCAAATTTGACATCTGGTTTCAAAATCAAAAAGAACTATAAATTTTCTATACATAACACTATATTTATTATTTTATTATAAATTAAGTACTTTGTTTTGAAAAAATTTTTTGAAGAATCCCTTCCTCCAATCAAGTCACTACTTTTGAATCCCATAATTTGACTACTAAAACTATTTTTTTTTTATATATACATTTAAATATCACCCAGGAGCATAAATGTGCCTAATATGAAAGAACTTCAGAACGTCCCTTGTTTTCATAGTCTTCCCGCTTCATGTGAAATACCCCTAAAGCCTGGTGAAGTTGATTTTACATTGAAAATAAAAAATGTAAAATTGGATAAAGCAATAAAATATTTAAATAAATTTACTTTGCAGTACATGGAGCAGTAATAATGAACCCAAGAGAAAAAGAAATTTTGGGATTTTTCACCTGGGGTGAGAAACAACCATCACAGTCATTACCACTTGTTATTCTAAACCTCACATATTACAGGGAGTGGTTAAAAATAATTGCCTTGTAATTTTTATCATTACATTTCTCCTGTTTCAACAATGTATTTTATTTAAAAGTAATCTAAAATATTATGAAATACTTGCTGCAAACAGACAAAATTTATTAATATGTATTCTTTACTTTTATTTCTACTTTTTTAAGAGTAGTTTAAAATATTCTTTAGGACCATCATTTTATTGAGGTGCAGAGAGAGGGATTATGATACAATTTTGATCTTTCTGACAATTGAAAGACTCTCTTTTGTTTTCCTTCTTTCGGAATTCTGATGTTACTTATAAAATCTATACTAATATTATAAATGCGAAAGTTTGTGAGGATGTATAGATGTCTGGATGTATAGATATTTTTTACTCTTATATTTATATTGAAACAATGGATTATAATGAAACTTTATAATAATATTGCTTATACATCAGAATAACACATAGGCTACTTTTCATCTCGGAAAAATGTAAGGTTCCCGTGGAATAGATTTGTTTTTCTAGAGGCAAACCCGAGCGAAGCGAGGGGGAGCCGCTAGAACGCAACAATAAAATCAACTAGCATCAAGAATATTATTGATTGAAGGCTATGAGGAAATACTTTCTTCTTTAAATATTACTTATTAACTGTAGCCTATGAAATTTCAGTTCTTTTAGTAATAAAAATAAGCACAACTTAGCTAAATCGTTCTGTGGTCCCGTTTTATAAATAAAATTACTTTGTATAAAAAATCAAAGTTTCTTTTTATTATTCTTTAAATATCTAATAACTCATCACAAGATGGAATACAAAATAACAAAAACACTATTTGAGTGTGTATTATTAATTCACGTTTGAAAAATTTACAAAACAAAAACAATAAAGTGCAATGTCAATTGTCAACAAAAACATCATGTCACTTGCAAGTTGCAAGTTGCACACAGATTAAATATTTTCATTGCATTATTAATTATTGCCATATGATAAAATAATAACAATAATTATTATTGTATATGTCTTTACGATTGATTACTTTTTAATAAAATTGTATTGAAATAGGTAATCAATTATTTGATTGAAATAATCATAAGTGTAGTTATATTACATTTAAATTTGATTATTTTCAAAAAATAAAAGTCACAACTCACAAGTAATGGCTGTAATAATTTTTGAAAGCTAGAAAACAGAAAAAACAAATGTATGACTGATTTTCGCCATTAGACAAAAAACAAGTACAAAATTTTAAAATTTTATTTATATTTATGAATCCGTGAGTCAGAGTAAATTCTGCAGTTACTGTAATAGAAAATAAAAGTATTTTAACAAAATTGAAACTGTTTGTATGGCATGTACAATAAGCGCGATTATGTTGACATTCAATATGGCGGTATGTCGTCAGTGCTGTGCTGTGTCGTGGTGAGATTTGTTAATTTTATGGATTGTGTTTATGCACTTTCTTAATGATTTGATTCAATTTAGCCCTAATTTTTTGTAAATTATATTTTTACGCTCGGTAACGAATTTGTTTTGATGTATGTCGAGCAAAGTCGAGCGACAGCGGACAACGTTATAATTTCTGCACATCGTCGGTCGGGTCGGGCAACCGATACCTACCTACCTAGATAGCAATAATAAAATATAGAACGATATTCCAATGCGACGCTTCGTTATAAATCAGCTCTTTCAAAAGACTTATGTTTATTCGTAACTATATGATTAGCTGAGTTTTTACTGTAAAATAAGTTCTCACGTTTCGATTTTTTAACTAGCAAGATTTTGTGTCGACAATTGGAGAATATTATTTCAATTGAATCAACTGTGCATACAAAACGTCAAGTGAGTTTCTTTAGGGCCTTATTCCCTACATGCTATCATATATTATCAGAGTTTCTTTGCCATATAAGAATTTTAGTCGAAGTTATAATAAGAAAATTTGCGGCGCGCGCACGCAGACCAGTACAACTAAACTTCACAACAGTACATGTTCATGTTTCATTGAAGCAGGACCTGTGCACAGTGATTGATTGAATTTATGAAGTTTTGCTTGTTAGGTGATTTAAAGTTAAATTTTAAACTTTAATGGGAGTTGAGATTTGTGAACAATAATTATTAACATCAATTTTCTCTTTACAGTAGGTAGTTGTGGATAACAAACAAATAAATATACAAACCAGCCTATGCACAGCAGAGCTCCGATTCAGCAAGCATTGAAGACATCTGAGGATCTAGTGTAGTTTATTCTTAAGTAGCTTTTCTTTTGCAATACAAGTGTTTTGGTGTGGAAATTGTGACTTTAAAGACTTTTTGTGTTCCCCCGGACACTAAGACAAAGAAGATGTGATTTGATTTATAATTTTATATCTGTCTTAAAAACTAACACTAGACCTTTTTCTGTGATATATTGGTACATAATACTGAGATTTTTGACTTATATACACGAGAACAAATACTGTCAATAAAATGTCAAGCAATCCTCAGTGGAAGATGTTCCAGCCGCCAGATTCACACTCCTCCCCTTTACAGGACATATTAGATCTACAGCAATCAAACATGCAAGCCAAACAAGTTTTTCGTAATGGTGAGTCTTCTAAACATGCTTCTTTGTAACTTTAATGAAGTTTTACTGTTACATTTTTTGGTGTTTTGTCTAAAGGTACTTACAGCAGTGAGTATCCAAGTTCCCCAAGAGATAACTTTAATAACATGGGCAACAAGAGTGGTGGTAACAGGTTCACTCTTGGTAACTACAACATGGATTCATGCCCTATGGGAGACTCTGCTATGTATTCGTCCAGTTCAACCAACAATCACTCCCAATATGATTCCATGAGCCACCCACCTATTAGGGAAACGGGCATAATTGAGAAATTACTTGTAAGTTGTTTATATTCACCAATTTGTCTCTAAATGCTTGTATACTAATCAATTGCTATATTTAAAAAAAAAAAAATATTGATCTAAGTAATTAATTATACATTTGTTTCATTATGTTAATATATACTTAACATAATTATATGTATAGAGATTCACCAGTAAAAGCTAGAAATATAATTATTCATATTGGATATATTTATAGTGATAAACACATTTTTATTGTAGCATTCCTATGGCTTTATACAATGTTGTGAAAGGCAGGCTCGTCTGTTCTTTCACTTTAGCCAGTTTGGTGGTAACATAGATCACTTGAAAATTGGTGACCCCGTTGAATTTGAAATGACGTATGACCGTCGTACTGGGAAGCCGATAGCGTCCACTGTGACCAAGATAGCCCCTGAGGTAGTATTGAGTGAGGCAAGAGTAACGGGAGTAGTGACAACCGAGGTCAAAGGTGAAGGTTCAGGAGACAATACTGGCCGCATCTCATATGAGAACAGGGGAGAGTGTTTCTTTTTGCCGTATACGAAAGATGATGTTGAGGGCAATGTAACACTTCGCACTGGAGATGCTGTCAGCTTCCAAATCGCTACCAACCAAAGGTGAGAATCTATATACTACTTCATATAATACTTTAATAACGATACTTGAATCAACTATTTATAGATACATTTACTTTTTATCCCATCCAATATTAATTCGTTTTTATTTTGTGGATTATTACACATTTATAATTATTGAGCTTCCACTAGATAAAGTGTATGAAGTAATTGGGATATTATTTACACATTTTGCTGTTAAAATTATTAGTTTCGAACAACGATATTAAATGCTTTCCACATTGCGAAATCTGATAATAATAATGTAGAGTACCATTTCATAATATTTTTTTTTTAATTTGCATTTTAAAGTTGTTGTTACATATGTTTTAAAATGCCTTTAAAATAGAAAAGCCTTCTTATACGTCTTGCCGACCACACTAAAACAGCGCGACCTAATTTTGAATGAATCTTTTTATATGATCTTTTATACATACCTACCCTCTTTTAATTGACTTTCTAAGATTTATGCGAATATTTGATATTTTAAATAAAACTAGCTTTTCGGATGTTTTCGCGGATTTATTTATTTTTATATTTTTGGTTCCATACGTTCATCATGGTTACGGGGTAGATGATTGCTGTAAAGCATTTGAAATGGCAGGAATCAAAAACGTAATTAATCTGCGGAATAATTCGATAAGATGTCGTAAATATAATACAATAGTTATTACAATAGTTACTATAGTATATTTAGCTTTATTCTCGCTTCGCTCAGGTTCGTCCCTAGCTTGATTCCCCATACAAATCTGCATCCCCATTTTCACCCCCTTAAGGGATGATTTCCGGGATAAAAAGCATTCAATGTCCTTCCCAGGGTCTCAAACTATCTGCTTACCAAATTTCATTTAAATCAGTTCAGTAGATCCAGAGATTACCCACTACAAGGTCACAAACTCACAAACTTACAAACTTTACCTCTTTATAATATTAGTATACATTTTCTTCTATATCATTTTAACCCATTCTCTATTAACTGACGACCGGAGTACAAACATTCATGCTCATCACACAAATGAATGCCCCCAACGGGACTTGAATCCGCGACCGCTGGCACAGCAAGTAGGGTCACTACAAACAGCCAAACGTGTCGTCGATTATAAGTGTTATAAAAGTCATACTGGGAATGATACTTTCCTTTTAAAAAAAAATTCGATTTATTTAAAATAAATCTTTCTGCAGTAATAGCAAATCTATGTTTATTTACTAGTTATAAGCTACGCGAGGACTTTTATGAAAAGAAATCACTTCGGCGAATAAGTCTTAAGCTTGAGAGCTTCTATAAAACGCGATCATCGGTGGAGTTTATTTATTTCATATAAATATTAGATTATTTTTCCTTTATACCTAATAAGTATTAATGTTTAAAATAGACATATGTAAGTCGTATATATTAAAAATCGTTATATGAACAAATTAAGGCTACAGGCAAAGAACAGCCAATAATATTTTTATTGAGATCAAAGTATGTGATAAATTGTAACTATGTGCATTTTTGGACAATCCTTTACCGGGGTGTTGTTCCTAGTTCTTTCTGCTTTTGGCATAGATAAAAACGTATCTTTACGATATCCATTAAATGTTTATGAAAATCAGTGGATGGGAATGCAATTATCATAGACATAGATTTGTTACCAGTACAAAACAAAGAAAAAAAAAACAAAAATTGTGACATTCATTGTTCTTTGCCTGTACCCTTCAAATATTATACCCAGTTGTTTGTTTGTTTGTTTGTTTGTTTGTTTGTTTGCATTTTTCAAAAATAATCCCAAAAGGCGGTAAAATGTGAAAGTTTGTACGAAACCTACAATTTTAGATATTTTTTGTAGTTTTAGCGCGAGTGAAGCCGCAGGTTCTGCTAGTATATTAATAATTTTAATTTCCCGATCTCTTTAACTATCAAACAAAAGTAATAACTTTACACCTTAACCTTTATATTTACAAGAAACGTGACTAACACTTTTGTTTTATATTCTTTGAATAGAATCAAGCATTTTGGCTTCTTACCCTTTCTTTTATAAGTTTTTTTAATCCTATAAATAACTTCTACGTAAAGCGGTGTTACTGGAATGGAAAAGTTAGAATGTTAATTTTATATGTTTGTTTCAGAGGCACACTAGGGGCTTGCCATGTACGTTTTGAGAATCCGGCCCACCCTGTGAAATATCATGGGGTGGTATGCTCGAAAAAAGAGAATTTTGGTTTCATAGAAAGGGCTGATGTGGTAAAAGAAATATTCTTTCACTATTCTGAAGCTAAGATCAAGGAAGAACTGTCGTTGGGCGATGATGTTGAATTTATAATTCAGACGAGAAATGTAAGTATTTTTAATTGTTTGTTTTGTTTATGAAAGTTGGGTGTAGTATTCTTTTGTGTTATAATATATTCTCATTAAATGTATATTGTAGTAATACAGCATCCTTAGATACATTTATAAGATACTTGCGACTCACCCTTGCTTTGCTCGGATTCGTCTCTAGGTATTTTTTGACGGTTCGTAGGGAATAAATAGACTATAATATTACGTATATACATAGGTATGATGAGTTGTTGTAGGTTGTATTATAAAATAAAGCGTTTTCCCATGTAAAAAGTAGCAAAAAATCACCACAACCGTCACTCTGTTTCGACGTGATAGAAGGACAAACAAACAAACGAACACACTTTCACATTTACAATGTTAGTATGGGATTACAAAAGTTCTCAGAAATTACGATTTTTCCGAATGATAAAAAAAATCCTCTTACATCGGTAAGTGTATTTTCATAACATGTTTGTAAATAGCGTATAACTATTATAGATATAGATAACCCTCTTTCTATTGGTAATATAATAAATCTATACTTATAATAAAATTCTAACTGAATCGAATTTGTACATGTCTCTGAGAAATCTATACTAACCGTCGAACCGTACCTAGAGATGAACCCGAGTGGAGCGAGGGTGAGTCGCTAGTACTTTACAAAGATCTTAAAAATCTGTTAAAAGCCCTTTAAACCCATATCTGCAATTCGGTGAAATATATATATATATATATATATATATATATATATATATATATATATATATGTTATTGTAGAAAATATGATTTATATTGATAAACAAACAAACATTTACATATATCTAGTATATAATATATAATATGAATTTTGTTGACTAACTTTATTTATCTTGCATGTCCTCAAAGCTTTATACTTTAGTAAACAAATTGGACTATTGCACAATCTACATTTAATGTCCCTAACAAATAGACGTCGGTTCTTAAAAGAAAATAATTCGTACAGAATATTAATGAATAAAATAAAGAGAAAAAGGATGATCACATAATATATATGTATATATGTATTATTTATATTAAAAAATTGTGAACATAAATATTGTATGTCACTTTAGTGAACGCATTCGAAAACTTGTAAAAGCGAGATTTAATATTACGAACAAAAAGATTATCGGTCGAAGCAAAAAATAATTCCTATAAAAATAATTAAAAGGGATTACTCGCATGTTCATGTACATTTTGAATTGTACAAAAGTGGTTCAATCAAACAAAATTCAGTTAAATATACCAAACAAGTTTAAAGGCTTTAAATTTAAAAGCTTATGACGGATTTCATTATTAAAATTTAACCGTACGGTTTACAACAACATTTCTTCTATACGTTTTTTAACTGGATGTTTATATGAAATTTCGATTATTTCATCAAAATACCTCCACTGATTTTTGTGTGGTGCGGTAACAGACAGACAGACAAAAATTCAAAAAGCTATAGATTTGGCCTCTATCGATAATAATTAATAATTCAAAATTTCAAAAACCGAAATTTAATGTCTATTTTAATAAAATTTTCCAAAAAATATTTAATGTACAGATTCGGCTTAGTTTGAATTTTATTATATGTATAGATTTAATCATATTTACCAGTATAATACTTCGCATTAGTAGTAACTGTTATATTATGATTTCACAAAGCGATTTATTGGTAATTTGGTAGCTGTAGGGAAGGGTGTGAACTAACCAATTCCACACATTTCCCGTACAAACATGAAGTTTCATATATTCGAGATATTTGTAACTAGGACCGTTTCATTGCGCTTATTAACGTGAAAACGCTTATATGGAAGCGCTACGACTCCCTGCACAAACTAGTAAATTGCCAATCAGAGTACCGAGTATAGCATTCTAGTGCGTGTATCTCATCATTTCCTACCCTTTTGATCGTGTGACGCTGTATTGCTTTCAAATTGTGCTTTTGTATATTTTAAAGGCTAAACTTTTTTATTGTTTTATTATTTTTAACAATATTTTCATGGCGATCTGTCGTACATATATCACATATTTGAATTAAGTACGTCCAACTTTAAACGTATTCTGCAATTAGCCCATAGTCATAGAATTTTTGTCTGTCTGTCTGTCTGTGACCGCATCACGAGTAAACCACTTGACAGATTTTGATGAAATTTTGTATGATGATAGCTATCCGACTCAACATATAGGATATTTTTTACTGCGGGAAAATATATCATCTCTGAGAAATGTATACTAAATGTTAAAACGTAACTAGAGACGAACCCGAGCGAAACGAGGGTGAGTCGCCTAGTTTGCTATAATTTAAATATATATTATATAAAATATATTAATTTTATACGGAACCCTAGTAAATAGAGTAAAAAGAATCACTCTGAACTTTGTCATTTTTTTTAAATATTGGCTTGGGGTAAAATAGGGATGAAATAGAAGCCTATAGGTACAACAGTTTTTACTATCAGACTTTACAAGGCAGATCAAATTTATTACGTTTTTATTTATTGTGATTTAGGAAAATTAAATAATCCCTGCTTTGTAAAAAGATTGACGTGTTTTTGTAGTTTAAATAAAAATAGCTGCACAAAAGTGTTTAATAAGGAGCTAGCTCATTTTACAGTCTGGCAACGCAATAAGAAATGTATTTTTTATTTTACATTCCCGTTTTTGATTCGCAGACGCTACGACATTTAATTAAACTCATATTACTATTTTATCAGACAAATGTAATGCTTAAAGTCACACTATCAAGTTGCACTTAGAATTATTTGCTATCTTCCAGTTACTTTTTCTAATTAGTACATTAATAAAGAAAAAAAACTTACCACTATATTTGTTTTGACTAATGTCTACGATAGACATACTTATAAAAATGTTTTTAAAGCTATCTAAATTTTCACATTTATGTATTGTGTTAAGTTAAGCATATTATATGAACTTACAAGGTCTTCATCAGATCTTCACCAATTTTTTATGAGACCGACATAAACTACCTTTTAAATAAAAACAACCATCTAAATCGGATCAGAGATATCCAGTAGTCCATTTTTTGGAGGAAGTACGCATCCAATCAAAAACCCCTTACGACAAAAAAGTTCTATAAAGCCGTAAAACGTGTATACCATGTTTCGTCCAAATCGGTTGTAAAATACGACCTGTAGAAGAGTACCAACAAACAGACAACAGGAAAGCAAATTTTGCCAGACTTGAAGCAGAGACGCTTCGCTCCCCCGGTCTATAACTTCTCAACTAAAATGGTATACTGATTTGAATATCACTATCAACTGCTCAACTTAATTCTGTTTAAATTACTTAAAACATTTCCTAATTTATATCTAAAGCAGTCTATTAATAAGTACAGACTAACGAAGGCCTCTAGACAAGGCAACTATCGAAAGTGATGCTTATTTTTATGCAGCATTCGGGAAATGACTTCAAAGTTGATGGGTTCACCGTTCACCATGAAAAACTGTATTTTACCACAGCAATCATCAGCAGTCGATGGATGGTTGTTGTAAAATATTGCCCTTGACAGCTTTCCCATTAACATCATTGGTCGATTATCTACTGTATGGATTTTTAAACTGTGTTATGCCGATATTATCAGTGGTAGCCCAGAAGTAACGCGCTCGCTTGAGAAACCGAGTGAAGCTGGTTCAAATCAAGGGTTTCGCACATTTGATATTTTCATGTACGAATCATTTCTAACATGATTACCACTTGCCTTATGGCGAAGGAAAGCATCGTGAGTTAACCTGCATGCCTGAGAGAACCTAACAAGTTTTCGAAAGACATGTGAAGTCCATCAACCCTCACTTGGCCAGCGTGGTGTACTATTGCCTGATTCCCCTCATATTGAAGGGAGGCCCATCCCCAGTAGTGGGACGTTTAAAAGGGCTGAATAAAGAGATGACGATATAAACAAGTTAATTTTTTTTAGGGCAAAGAGGTAGCATGTAACATAACAAAGCTGCCTAGTGGGTCGGTGGTGTTCGAGGACGTCAGTCCGGAGATAATGCGCGGGCAGGTGTTAAAGCCTCTTGAGCGCGGGAACATGGTGCGAGTGCCGCAGAACGATCCGTTGCCGGGTAGGATCAGATATCGTGCTGCTGACCATTCAGAAGTAGAGGTGAGTTGATAGTTGTTACGTTTTATCCATGTGTGTTATGTGTTTGATTTGTATTTTCAGAATTTAGCATTGTTGGGTTTCATTCTTTGGTTTAACTTCACTTAAGACTCCTCTTTTTGAAGAGATATTTGTTAGGAATTGTGGCCATCTATGTTTATAATACGTTAGGTTTTATACAAACTTTCATCCCCTATTATACCCTCTTAAGGGATGAATTTCGAAAAATGCTTAAACACTTATTTATTTAATTATATTGAAGAAAATTAATACCAAGTTTCAAATGATTCTGATCATAAATCATTTTTTGAGTTATACTATAGCGTGTTTCTCCATGGGAATGAGATAATCTCCCGCGGTATAAAGTAGCCTATGCCACTTCCAGCCCTCCAACTATCTCCACACAAAAAGCCACGCCAATCAGGCACTCCATTTCGACGTGAAAGAATATAATATTAAATATGGATTATTAGTAAGTGTGGATTTTTTAGTTTCATTTCAAAGTCAATAGGAACAAAACATTAAGTTTAAGTTAAGTAACGTTTCAAAGTAGGTATGTATGTTACTTTTTAGTACATACTGTATATATTGTAATGTATTTAGTATACTGACTGAATAATTAAGAATGCGCAATCTAGACTCTAGAGGTCTAGATTCTTGTTTAAGCACTAGATACATGGATTTTGCAAGTATTCCTTATAATATGTAAGGGACTTCGTCATTTTCATATAGGAATAATTTAATTATGTATTTGTTTGTGGCAAAGACTTAATAATGTGCTTTAGCGATGCGTGGGCGCTTCATTATAATCGTTTTTCTTAAATATATGTACGCTATTACGGTGTAGAAAAACATTGTAAGGGAGGCTTTTCCCAGCCGGGTGATGTTAAAAGAGCTTAATTACAATTATTATGTAGAAGCGTGGGATATATTTCAATATCTTTTTTGTTATATTTTTTATAACAAGTTATATACTATGGAAAATTTTGTATGATCATATTATAATGTTAGGAAGAACATAAAATGTTTTAAGTAAATTGATTCAACTATATTGTATAGTAACAGACTCGTCTTTATTGAATAAGTATTCATTTTAAATGTCGCTATATAAAAAGCCTGGAGTGAGAAAAATCCGTACGATGAACTTCTATTTGTAAGGATTCGATTTCGCACCACTGTTTATTCTGAAGTCGACGAAAATACTATAAAAATATGCTATAATAGTTGTCGTTTTCGCCCTTCGTTTAAATTCATAATTCCAATGTAATAACGAAGACACGTTTGGCTCAGTTTTAGAGTACTTGCTGTACTATAGGTCGCGGGTTCGGGTCTAGCTTGGGGCATTCATTCGTGTGATGAGCACGAATGTTTGTACTCCACTCATGGGTGTTTATACTTTTAATATGTATTCAAAGTTATATACCTATGTGTAGTGTATCAACTATCCGGTATCCATAAGACAGGCTTCGTAGCTTACCATGGAACCCATAATACTAATGTCCCAACGTATTTATATTTAGAATGACAATTAGCGATTCATCCTCGCTTCGCTCGGGTTCGTCCCTATCTTTTTACCCCATAAAAAATTCATCCCCATTTTCACCCCTTAAGGGATGATTTCCGGGATAAAAAGTATCCTATGTCCTTCCCTGGGTTTCAAAATATCTTCTTACCAAATTTCAAAATAAATCGGTTCAGTAGATCCAGAGATTACCCCCTACAACCTCACAAACTCACAATCTCACAAACTTTACCTTTTCATAATATTAGAATAGACCGATTTCGGCCACGGCGGCCCAATTCTTTGAGACTAGCCAACTGCGCAGGAGATGTTATAGTGCTCAAGCGTACGTGAAGACACAACGTGCACTCTCTATTCCTATCACTTTCATACTCCGGTGGGACGACCACTCGACACGACCGGTGAGAGTTAAGGCGCAGGACCGACGGCTTTACGTGCTCTCCGAGGCACGGGGGTGAAACACCGCCAACTTCCCAACTTTGGGCTGTTCCAATGTAAGGATTCTGTAAACTGCAACTATTTATGCATAAAACATTCTGTCTCAGCGTCAAACTAAATTAATTTACTAGTCTAGGATTCATTTTATATAAACGTCTCCTAAAATAGCTAGGAGTAGTTACGAAGTCATCTCGAAATTGTGGTCTTTGAGTGTCCTGCAAATATTTTAGTTAATTTGACTTCAAGTTGGGATAACGTTTGAGTCCAAATGAAAACTGTTATTAAATCGTCTTGATTACGTATGTATTTTTAGATTTATCGCAATATAATGATTGAATATAGTAAATCAATATTTTTAGTTTGCTTTTAATAAATAAACAGGAAATATATTTTGTTAATTCTATATGAAGCTATACGTACTTTGTATCTATTTGGTTAGTTTTTACATATCCGGAAAATCTCCCTCCCGTGTTTGTTGGTTAAAAAAAATACTGGTGATGTTAACTAATTGGAAGCGCACTCGCTTTTGAAGCGTATCTCATATTGAAATTTTTATATGAGAATCATTTTAAACATGATTGTCACTTGGTAATACGATGAAGAAAAACAACATGAGTTTCAAGGTGCATGTCTTAGAGAATTAAGCTGATTTTACAAAGACTTGTAGTTTATTCCCGCATTTGGTCAGCGTAGTCCATCCACTACGCTCCACTATGGTCTGATCTACTTGCATTGAGTGAAGGCTCGTCCCCAGTGATGTTAAAAGGAAATAATTTCTTAATCTCTCCACGACCGCGGACACTCCGGCGTGTCAGTTAACAATAGATTTCTTAGAATTTTAATTAATTTCTTAAAAATTTACTTGGAGGTGTTAATATTACGAAGTTTATTTTTCATCATTAGCGACTCATCCTCGCTTCGCTCGGGTTCGTTCCTAGGTTCGTTTAAATTTTTTTAAGCGGAACCCTAATTCTTTTTCTAAAATAAAAGAAGCCTATGTTACTATCTATAACATCAGCTTCCAGTGAAAACACCGTCAAAATCAGATTATCCGGATTAAAGAGATTATCCGGATCAAACAGACAGACAGGCAAAAATTAAAAAAAAAGTGTTTTTCTTATAAATACGATATGCATTTAGTAAAACGCTGTTATTTTGACATTACCAACAGACATTTCAATTTTATTTATCTGTATATTTTAAGCTCCTATATTTGATGTTATTGAATTCTAATATTATAAATTATACATTTATTCTGTACAAATCTTCCAACCATAAACAAACAATTTTGAATACGTTGGTAGCATTAAAATCGTTCGTGCTGAACAATATTATTGAGTACGTCTACGTTAGAGAGGAATATTACTCGTATAATAACTTTTAAACATAGCATTAGTAACCGGAGAGCCTTTGAGTGGAATCGGAACTTCTTACGCTACAATTTTCATAAAAATATAGAGAAGCCCGGCTAATGATAAAATAAAAGTAAAATGAGCTTCGTGTTTATAATGTAGCAAAGGCGATGTTATAAAACTTCTTATTTGCCTTTTATCTTTCCATCTGATGTATCTCAAAGGGTTCATTTTAATTTTCGTATATTTTCATTATTAATTTTGATAATATTGGGATGGATGTACATATTTTTGACTATTTCGTGGTCAAATATACATGTAGTAACTAATATTTACTAAAATAATAGGATATGTAATGACTTTTATATGTTTGTTTACATACAGGATGTATGTATTTCCGATCCTACGTAATTACTTAATCGGTTAGCTGATTTTAATGATTCTTACTTTGTTACTTCTGGTTGTAGGCGCCAATTTTTGTCTTGACAATTTTTTTTTATTCCAAACCTATCCAAGTCGGGTATCAAAATAAAGGTATTTAATAGGTTACATATATATATATACAATCTTTAACTTTCAAGATAACAAATTGTTAACAAAAACTCAGAATGGAGAAAACCAAAATCTGTAAATAAAAAATTAAATTATAAAAATAAACTAAAAAGCGAAATAAACAAAAGGTATCAAATTAACGAAGGAAAATAGTAATATGTAGCAAGAGACATACATACAAACAAATAGAAAAACCCGCAGCAAGTATAAAACGTATGACGCATAGGTACTTCGAAAACGGCTCAACCTCGCTTCGTTCGGGTTGGCCTCTAGAAAAACGAAAACAAATCTATCCCACGATTACCGGATAAAAAGTACAATTTTCTGGAATCTAAAGTAGCCCATGTCCTATTCCAGCCTATAATCTATCTCTGTGCTAAATTTCATTCAGATCTGTTCAGCCGTTTAGGCGTAATTGAGTACCTAACAAACATTCATGCAAACATCTAAACTTTCACATTTATAATATTAGTAAGATTGTAAATGACGTGTCAATTTAGTAGCCTATGTTACTTTATGTCTAATAAAGTACAGGCAAAATTTCATATCCATTCGTTCATCGTAGCATGAAAGAAGGACGAGCAACGAGCAAAAACGTTTGGTAATTTGCTAATTTCACAAGACTCGTGTAACGCACTGTACAGTAGGTACTGTTCGCAACCCTTTATTTTCTAAGATTTCCTAATCAAACAGCGCTATACCTAAAGAAAGGTAATACCTAAATTTGATTAAAAACAATTGCTAAAAATCTTTCCATGTTTTGTTTGCAATTGTGTGGGTTTGAATGCTATTGTTGATGTTTCAATACATTTGGCGTACTTTTTAAGATGAAAGTATTAATAGATGAATTTTTTTTTTTTTAATTTCCATTTATTATATTTCGTTATGTATGTATGTGTGTGCATTCGCGCATTTTTCGCCCTTTCAATTTTTCACTATTTTGGGTTTATGTCAAGAAGGTCTTTGTGGTATAGATTTCATTAAATTTTGTATTTTGATAAAGGCTAAAGGCAGAATCATAAGGAATATTTCTCTTGTATGATACACTAAACATCCAAATTATTAATATTTCTTTTATCCAAACAATTTTGATGAAGCAATCTCTCTGTCCTTTCAATATTTATACAGGCGGTACTAGTTCCGATGAAGTCAAATAAGTTACAGCAGTATCCAACGTTCAAACTACTCTGTACGAACAAACATTACTAAGTCCATCTATGTAATGGCAATACTCGTGCTAATAAGTTGACTAGATCTCCTTATAGTAATTTCTATCAAAGGGGAATTTATGCTATTAAATTGACAAACTAGGATCTCCTAAAAGCGATTTCAAAGGGGAATTCTGTAAAGCTTTGATACGGTCAAACCAAATATGTATCTTGTTGAGTCTCCACTGTTTATTTGTAGTGTGCAGTGAGATGAAAACGTGGTCATATTTCGGAAAGATTTTACATATTCTGACTAAATAAATATTCTGAATCTGCTTTAACACTGTTTGTTTAGCTGCGTGGTGTTTTATTGCTTTAACTTAAGCTTTAGACCATTTCGACATTAAAAAAGTAAGAAGACCAAGTCCTAAGTAAATGTCTTTAAAACTATATTTTAAATCGACTCTTACCCTCGCTTCGCTCTGCGCTCAAGCGAAACCCTAATCCTTTAAAAAAATAAAAATAGTCTTAAGTTACTCCTTATACCTAACATCAGCTATCTGCTAATTAAAGTCCCGTCAAAATCAGTCCAGCCTTTTCGGACATTAGCCGGAACAATTAGACAGACAGACAAAAATTTAAATAAATGTATTTTTCTTATATAATACATACCAGCTATGACATATCTACAATTGTACATAAGTATGTATATCTACATGATTGTATAAAATATTGCATTCCCTATTTAATAAAATACCCGCATCTTATTAAATATATCATATTACATTTAATTCGACACCATGCCATGAGAGGGTTGCAAAATACCTTTCAAAGTGCATGCTTATATTCTGTCTGGAATATATTCGCTAATTAATTCAGTACTCCGTTTATATTTAATATCTTCAGTTACATTATTTACCTATCGATGCTCAATATGATTCGAAAACTAATTGATACTTGATAACTAGTAGCTTTGAGAACGACCAAGTATTTGATTGAATGAAGGAATTTGAGAGTTTTCTCATACTACGTATTGACTTTAAATTAATTAAATTAAATATAATTAAATTAAAATCAAATAATGACGTATATGTATAATTCGAATAAGTACTAACTAATAGATACGTGTTATTAATGTATATTTTATAGTATCCAATACCATTTTAGTGATTTGTTTAAAATTTCTAGACTTGGAGGCATAGACAGTGTGGCATTTGTCAGTGAGTCAGTTAAATTGAGAGATTTAAAATTTACATTATTTAAAGAACTTGTATAGAATTTGTCATCATTTTAATGTCAAATCCGTTATTGACTATCTAAAGCATCTTCATTTGTATTTACGAGTACATTAGTGCTATTATTACACGACGAGATATAAATTTGGATCGAATTGATTTGATTAAATTAGCATCAACTCGGTATTGATAGACGAGTGGTTAGTGTTGCCACATGTACCGCTTTCAGAGGGACGTTCATGTCGCCATTTTAAATACAAAATTATTCTTTTTTTTAAATATTGTTGACTCTGCATAGCTATTTTATAATTTAATATTTTTAATTTAATAATTGTTTTAATGACAATATTAGTAAATCTTAATTAAGGGCTTCGTTTTTTTTGGATTTTGAAAAAGCTTATAACTTACTAGCGACTCAATCTCGCTCGGTTTCATCCTTAGCTTCCTTCCCAATACAAACTTTTGTCCCCATTTTCATCCCCTTAATGGATGATTTCCTGGATAAAAAGTATTCTATATGCCCTTTTCAGGCTCTCAAACTATCTTAGCAAATTTCATCTAAATCGGTTCAGTAGATCCAGAGATTACCCCCTACAACGTCACAAACTCGCAAACTTTACCTCTTTATAATATTAGTATAGATTACGATTATTTTTTATTAGGATATAATCCTATTTCCACATTTTTTCACTAGTGTGACCTAGTGATAGGTATTTAGAAAAAAAAAACCTCGATCCAGACAACCTTGTCATGGATGTCAAATAGTCTCACACAGATTTTAACATTAACATTACTTCCCAGGTGCCTTTCGGAGATAAAGATCAATGTGGCGAGTTCACCCTCCGCCATGGCGACTGGGTGCAGTTCCAAGTGGCAACGGACAGACGGGACCAACTGAAACGCGCCACCAATATATCTCTGCTCGACGAGTCTTTCAACGTTTCTGGAGAGCGGTGAGTTAATAACATAATATATGTATGTATACATACGAGTATAGCCGCATAATGCGTTTTGAAGAACACTAATATTAGATTTCAACATCTTTTCGTAATAAAATAAATGTTTGAGCCTGTCTTTTATCTAACTGTACTGTACTGAATGAAAGTAACTGGGTAATGTTTTTTTTATAAAATATGTGATACTAAGCAGTACGTGCGGCCTCTCTCGCGCTAAAACTACAAAGAAAAATCTTTAGGTTTATTTTACTAGTAATAATGTATGGAAGTCTGCCCAATTTTTTGACATTTACGATTACTGCACCGCTCCCTTGGGTAGTAACATGATGATATATAGCCTATAGCCTTGCTCAATAAATGGGTTATCTAATGCAAAAAGAATTTTTCAAATCGGATTACTAGTTTGTGAGATTAGCGGCGTTAAAATAAACTCTGCCTCTTTATAATATTAGTGTAGATTATGGATATAATAATCATAAAAGTTTAAAAATATATTTGTGGCCCGTCAGCAATTCACTACGATATTCTTGCTGTTCTTTGCTTATATGATTTGCCTAATAGTTGCTTAAATTAATAATAAATGTCCGATCGGCTCACCGAGGGTCAGTAGGGCAAGACACGTTAGGTACATATTTTATATTATGTGTTTGGTATTTATATAATTTATTAGGTTAAAATTATAACATAGGATGGCTAAATTCATTAAGGGTAACTTTTACGACAATGTTGCCCATTGTTGATATTGAATTTATTTAAAATCTATACATATAATTAAATTCTAACCGAGTCGAATCTGTGCATTAAACATTTTTTTTGGCATATCTTATTGAAATAGTCATTATGATCGATATAGAGGCTGAATCTATAGTTTTTAGAATTTTTGTCTGTCTGTCTGGAAACACATCATGAGAATATACCACTGGACAGATTTTGATGAAATTTCGGGGTAATCGTGGTCACGGGTGAGACAATTCATTTTTGAATTTTTGAAATCATTTTTGTGAAATTGTGGGTAGGCACTGTCTGTAACACGAACAAGTACATAACACCTTTGAGACCTCTTAAACCTTAAACTCTCCCGTGACCATGATTTCTGTAAAGCATTCGAAACGTCGGCAACCAAAAATTAAAATAAATCCGCGAAATAATCCGAAAACATAGTTTTATTTAAAATGAATAAGGTTCTTAACAATCATTATACGCATCTTGAAACAAATTAAGACGGATACGACAAAAATGATACGTTATAGTTTTGAGAGGAAAGAGGGTAAATTGAATTCGCCAATCGCAGTACACTCGACGAGGCCTTCAATATATCATTCATTCGGTCAGTATTGTCGACTATATGAGTTTAGGATTGGCGTGATTTTCAATACTATTGAGAATAGTAAATGGTTTTTCAACAATTCAATTTTTACTGTAGGGTGTAGACGGCGGCTCTTGTAGTGATAAGGACTTTGGGGATAGGTCTTCAGTTCTATTGTAATGTAAATTAATACTAAAAGTTATCTTTTAGACATTTTATTATTTTGATTTACATGAATTGTATTTTAAATTGTATCACTTTTTAGAAATTGTAATATATATTTAATTAAATAGTTGCCTAAAAGCAAAACTAAATGTTTTTATTTCGGTTTGATGCTTATAACATTTTTAGATGCTATCTTCTTCGTCTTCTATACTAATATTATAAAGAGATAAAGTTTGTGAGGTTGTGAATTGTGAGTTTGTGACATTGTAGGGGGTAATCTCTGGATTTAGATGAAATTTGGTAAGAAGATAGTTTGAGACCCTGGGAAGGATATAGGGTGCTTTTTATCGCGGAAATCATCCCTTAAGAGTGTGAAAATGGGGTTGAAAGTTCATATGGGGAATCAACCTAGGGACGTACCCGAGCGAAGCGAGGGCGAGTCGCTAGTCTCTAAACAATTTTAGAGCTTTTTTGTTTGATATGCTCAATTTTCAAATTAAAGGCACTTAGAGCGCGATATAACATGTAATTTGATAATAATTTCAAAAACAAATTTTAATTTTATATCAATTTTCTTTCTCATTATTATTCTATTACTGGTATATGTTTAAGTAATAAATAAATACGATAAGAAAAAATATATGAGCGGTATATAAGGATATTGAATGATAATAATTAATCGATTTCTTAAATAGGTTTATAGGACATCACTGACATCTGACTAGTTAATAAAATTGAATTACCTTAGTTGTGTAATACTACATAATTTCACTCTACACTTTTTACTGTTTCAAATATATTGTTAGACAGCGACTCGCCCACGGGTTCGTCACTAGGTGATTGTTTAAATGGACATAACTTTTGTATTTATGAACCGATTGAAATAAAACAATAATAAATGTTAAGTGAAGCTTATGACAATACATTAGTGAAAACTGTACTCAAATCGGATAAGCCGTTTCTGAGATTGGTGCGCACAAGTATTTAAAAATAATATCTGAATAGTCTTTGACTTGAAACTATACCTTAACTTTATCTCGATGTTAAAGTTTTTTTTGTTATATTTAAAAAATATAACGTCCCTTCTAATTGTGTTAATCGTGCGATACGTTTCCGCCGGCAGCCTTAACTGGAACATACACAAAGGACTTCTATATAGGAGACTAGCATTTCCCGCGGCTGCGCCCGGTTTCATATGACCAAAAACCAATTCTTAGGTTTTATATATTAGTATACATTGCAGTTTTTGTATTTTTTCTTAGAAATGAGATATTTTCCCGCGGTAAAATGTATCCTATATGTTGACTCGGATAACCAGCTATCATCATACCAAATTTCATCAAAATCTATCCAGTGGTTTTCTCGTGATGCGGTAACTGACAGACAGACAGACAGACAAAAATTCTAAAAACTATAGATTCGGCCTCTGTATCTATAATAATGTCTATTTCAATTATATTTTCCAAAAAAATATTTAATGTACTGAATCGACTTAGTTACAATTTTATTATATGTATAGATATCTTGTAAATATTCAGCTAATATAGTTTTAAGCAAGGATAAGTCGTTTGTATGAAATACAATGTTAACATAAGTAATGTGTACTTACTCACCCTCGCGTCACTCGGGCTCATACCTAGGTGATTTTTTTTAAATTGGCATAACATTTCTTTTATGAACCGATTGAAATGAATATCGCAATACATTAGTGAAAACCGCACCCTAATTGGTTAAGCCGTTTTTGAGACTATCGAGCACAAACGCACAGACAAAGAGACAGACAAAATATCTAAAAATCGTTGTTTTTTGGTTCTATTGCATTAATTAAGATATATAATAGCTTTTCTCGAATATCTTCCATGTAAAGACAGCGGTGAGTTATACATTTATTATATGTATGATGATGAAAACCTAATTATTATAATTAACTTAAAACTAAAGTAAGAAAAAAATGGTCTTATTTATTATACGAAATCCACTTTCCGTATTTAATTTTATCATTTCAGTGATACAGTACATTTAACTGTTCGATACCAGTTATTATTGATATCGTTTGATCATAATCGTGGTGAATTAGTTTGCCTTTGATGCCAATTGCCGTGCGATAAAGCCTGTGAATACGTGTATTACACGTCAGATTATGCCCCCCAATGCGAAGCTGTTGGAATTGATTAGAAGATTTTCTATAATAGGTAAAATAAATATTTCGAAGCTAGATGTATTTATAAATGCATATACTAGTGACTCACCCTCGCTCCGCTCGGGTTCGTCCCTACTTAAGTTTAGACGCCGCTTAGTACCTATAGATTTCTCAGGCACCTTGTTTAATTGTCAATCATAGCAATCCTTGGATGTGGTGGGAAGCCTCGGTCCGCTTTGATTGGTCGATTGACTGATCGGCCATTTTTAAAACCCTATACGTAAACATTGGAGCATGCTCGCCAATATACATTTGTATTTTTATTTTATTGTGAATTGTGTATTGTAAAGTGCCAAGGCTTTAATTACTTTATAGGCATGAGGTGGTAGGGCAGAATCGGTTGCTTTACAAGACCCCAATATATCAATATCAGACGGGAAACATACAAACAAGTTTACTAGTCTAAGTTAAATTTAACGGTTTCATATAATTTCCCTGCGACATGTATGTACAAGAATTGCTCATTTAATATTATAAGATATCAAATCAAATCAAAATATTTTATTCAGCATTAAATTATTACAATTTTTTACTGAACGTCATGAGTCATGAAAGAAGAAGCCTCAGACCTGAGAAGAACTGGCGTAAGAAACTCAGCGGGACTAATATTATTTCATTATCTTTTTTTTATAAAGTTAAATTATAATTTACAATATTTCTATCAATTTGAAGTAGCCTGGAGGCGATCATTTCATTCCCAAGGTGTGCCATCTTCTATAAAATCAATTATTGTATAATAGCCTTTCGCACACAAACGTTCTTTAACAATTTTTTTGAATTTGGCGATAGAATAGTTGTACAAACGTATACATTGTCCATAAAAAGAATTACTAACTCTGTGTAGACGAGTCACAGGCATTAGAAGTTTGTGTTTGCTCCTAGAATTAATGTTATGCATGTCACACTTCTTGGGAAATTTGTGTATATTTTTACGGACATACATAACATTTTCGTACACGTACTGAGAAGCAACAGTATAATTTATAAGTCTATTATATATATATATATATATATATATATATATATATAATATTATAAGTCTATTGTTTTAGATCACCTATCATCTTAATGCTGTCCTATTTAGGTTTAAACTATAACTGCCCGTCAACTTGTTACAGTAAACAAATGAAGTTACTGAAATATCAATACCAGGTCTTAACCGCAGACTCAAAGTTATAATGTATAAGCAAGCACTGGATTTCTTGATAAGTCATGTTGGTAAAGTTGACGGGGGAAGTTATTTTGCAATATACAATTAAAGTATTAAAAAATGGACAAAATGCACCCAACATACAATTATTTACTAATAATAATAAACATTAGTAACTTTCCGTACACGTTTCATTCGATACGTTCGTTACCGATTGTGTTGTTACTGAATAAATGTAGTTATATTTTAGCAAAAATCGAATAGTTGACGCTATAAAATATGAAATATATTTTTGAGCTAAAACAATTATAATATCAAACTAATATGACGTATTTTTAAAAATATGATATAAGTATATTTCAATTATTTAATACAAAAGAAGTTAAATTTTGTTACTTTAGAGTTAAACACAATTGTTCGAATTTCAACCATCCCAGTGTCCATACTGATATTATAAAATGTGAGTGTGTTTGTTTTGGTTTCTTTCTTTGTTTGTCTTTCTTTTACGTCGAAACAGAGTTTCGATTGACAGGAGTTTTCGTGTGGAGATAGTTGGACGGCTGGAGAGTAGCATAGGCTATTGTTTACCGCGGAAGGATTATCTCCTTCGCACGGGAAAATATATATTATATAATATAATCGTATATATTTAAAAAAAATTATCTATTACATACCGTTAAAACGTACCTAGAGACGAACCCGAGCGAAGCGAGGTTGAGCTGCTATTTTTCATATTTATTCGTTTATTAAAATGGCACATTAAAGGAGTCACCGGAAAGAAGCTTTATTTATAACTAGCGACTCATCCTCGCTTTGCTCGAGTTCGTCCCTAGGTTGCGTTTTCACCCCCTTAAGGGATGATTATTGAGATAAAATCCTATTTCCTTCCCAGGGTCTCAAACTATCTTCTTACCAAATTTCATCTAAATCGGTTCAGTAGTTTCGGAGCCTATTCGGTACAAACAAACAAACAAAAATAAATTTCCTCTTTATAATATTAAAATAGATAATTTACAAAATAGGCATAATAAATCATCACTGAAATAATAAAACTTTTATAAAGCAAATATAATATTTATCCATTCAATTTCGCAAAGTCCATACTGAACAGTGGAACGCTTAATAGCTTGGTATTGGTATCAGATTGTTGTGTTGTTGTTTGTTGGATAAACATTACTTTATATAATAAATTTAAAATGTACTCTATTTTTTTAAAGATAATATTCTGCATTCATTAGTATAGGTTCAGTTTATGCGCCATCATGGACGAATTGTAGTATTGATAATTAAAATTATATTCCACTGTTAGTGGTAGCCCAGTGGTAACGCGCTCGCTTGGGAAACCGAGTGAAGCGGGTTCAAATCCCGGGTCTCGCACCTCTGATATTTTCATGCGCGAACCATTTCCAACATGATTACCACTTGTCTTAACGGTAAAGGAAAACATGGTATGGAAACCTGCATGTCTGAGAGAACCTTGCAAGTTTTCAAAAGACATGTGAAGTCCGCCAAATCGCACTTATCCAGCGTGGTGGACTACGGTTTGATTCCCCTCGTACTGAATACGGGCTGAATACACACATACAAATCCACTGTTAAAATCATAAGGTTGCCGTTACTGGGTAAAACATAAGTTTATTCTATACCAACAGGAGGGAACAGGGTATCGTTTGCTCGCTAAGAGAGGGCTTCGGTTTCATACGCTGCGTTGAACGTGAGCAAACCATGTTCTTCCATTTCGCCGAAGTGCTACGTCTCGGTCAGGAACTTAGTGTTGGCGACGAGGTTAGTATAAAACATTATTATTCAAATTCTATTTTCCCTTTGAAATATTATTTTAATGATGCAGTAATGGTAGAATATCAAATTTATATTTAAAATGAATTTCGCAAATGATTATTTGTATACAAACGGTTTTGTCGTCATGAATGTTTAACAAAGCTCGCATAAACAATAACACACAGTGATATTCTATTTCCAAATGGGGATTAATTATTCAGATTTCGTAACAGCAGCCATATTATTTATATGAATTGTAAACTTTGTATAAATATTGTGCTGGCTTAGTGAAGCCCTTTTAGGAAATTCGCTTGCTTGAATGGAATTAACGTTCATAAAGTCTCGGTGGGGAAAACTTTTTCTTGAATCGAAAGTTTCATTACGATATCAAGTATTCTTATACAACTCTTTGGTATTCGATACTTATTTCAAAGTAATAGTGGGCTCATAATAAGGATCGTATTACAAAAAAATTTCTGTAACATTTTATTATATATATGTATATATATATATATATATATATATATATATATATATATATATATATATATATATATATATTGGTTAAAACCTTTGTTTGCTACTGCCAGTTAGTAAAATCATGGGGTGTAATTACGAACAAAGAAAACCTAGTTCAAATAAATGTCAATAGGTGACGTTACATGTATCGATTTGTTATTAAAGTTGTGTTAATAACAAAAGTCTAAAAAATAGATGCCAAAAAGTTATATTATTGTTTTTGTAAATATTCTAAGTGATAACTAAAGAAATAATGGCCCGTAAATTAAATTTGTCTAATTTTATTGATTATTAAAATATTCAGCCATTATCAGCTTTTGACGCGCTTGCTTGGAAAACCAAGTGATGCGAACTCTAAACACCCTGTCTCGTCGCACCTGTTTATACCGCTTTATTTTCATGTTCAATCATTTACACCATGATTATTTTAGGGAAGGATAACGTCGTGAGGGAACCTGCATTTTTAAGAGAATCTAACTATCACTCTGAAGGGATTTCTGGACTCAATAGCGCACCATAAAAAGGGCTGGCGGATGATTTGTTTTAATGATGGTGTTTAAACATGATGGAAGAATTTAGACTTTAGAATGAAAAATATCAGAACACTTACAAAAAAGTTTAAACTACTAAACTACCTTAAACTTAACTAGTTCTCAGTAGGCAAGTTAAGTCTTGGCAACTCGCTCTTAGCCAGCTTAATGGACTATAGTCTGATCCTCTTTGCATTGAAGGGTATAATAATATAATATGTTGGGACATTAACACACAACACCATCTAGTTCTATGGTAAGCTATGAGGCTTGTGTTATGGGTACCAGATAGTTTATACACTACATATATATAACTTTAAATACATACATATGACTGGAGTACAAACATTCGTGCTCATCACACAAATGAATGTCCCCAGCGGGACTCGAACCCGCGACCGCTGGCACAGGGTAGAAATATTATGTTAAAAAGGGCGGAATTATCATTTACAATTACTATCATAAACAGGTGGAATTCACAGTGGATCCAGTGTCAACTTTCTCAAACATGAACACGCGTCAGTCGGCAATACGCATAAAGCACCTGCCGGCTGGTAGCGTTCACTTTGAGACGCTTCTAGAACGTGGCGTAAGAGGTGTTGTGGCAAAAGAAGCACAGTCATACTCGTCCTCTTCAAGCCCCACTAGATCTTCATCTTCGGTAAGTGTCTCTTATCTATTTATCTGTTTATCTATATACTAGCAGAACCCGCGGCTTCGCTCGCGCTAAAACTACAAAAAACTCTAAAAATGTAGGTTTCATACAAACTTTGATCCCCTATTTTACCCCATGGGATGAGTTTCGGAAAATGTTAAAACAAGTATTTATTTGATTGTATTGATGGGCAGTAATACTAAGCTTCAAGTAATCCTGATCATAAATATTTTTTGTATTGTCTTGTAACGTGGGTTTCAGTGGGATAATTTTAGTAAGGATTATATAGCGTTCTTATAACTATAATTGAATGTGACACAAACAGTTTTCGAACTTCTCACTTTTTCAAACCGCTCTCACGGAAGAACGAGTATAGTAAAATTTAGTGAAAAGCTCAGCTTTGAGCACCATTCATCGCTTTATAGAACATACTCGTAGGTACGATCGTATTCTTCGTGGTCCTCGTTAAAAATAATATGCGGAATATATCAGTCTTTCCCGTGACCATGATTGCTGTAAAGCATTCGGAACGTCGGGTACCAAAAAATAAAATAAATCCGCGTTCGAATCCGATATGATAGTTTTATTTAAAATGTCAAATATTCGTGTAAATCTAAAAATAGTATTAAAATGCGGAAATTTAAGACACTTTTTTCTTGAGGTTTTGTTTTTGAATTTCTACTAGGACCGTCCACGTAAGAATGTTTGAAATAAAATAATCGTTTGTGGTCCGCTGGGCCCCCTTGTGTCAGGGGCTCCATGCGACTGTACTGCTTGCATTGGCATAGCTACGCCACTGGCAAGCACTTATTATGTTAGTATGATTGTGATTTAAAGGTGAAGTTGAATATAATAGAGGTTTTTTGAGTTGGTAGCCCAGTGGTAAGGCGCTCGCTTGGGAAACTGAGTGAAGCGGGTTCAAATCCCGGATCTCGCACCTCCGATATTTTCATGTCAACATGATTACCACTTGTCTTACGGTGAAGGAAAACATCGCGAGGAAACCTGTATGTCTGAGAGAACCTAGCAAGTTGTCTTCAGACATGCTCAGTCCGCCCGCACTTGGCCAGCGTGGTATGGTATGGCCTGATCCCCCGAGTATTGCTTTCAATACGAGGCTCGTGCCCAGCAGTGGGACGTTAAAAAAAACGTCTGAATACAAGATAATAAATGCTAAGTTAACAGTTTTTTTGTTTAAAATAGTTTGTATTTGATCGGGACTTAAGCGTTTGATAACCATTTCATTGTACAAATTGATTTACCTACGAGTATATAATCCCTTAGTAGTTTCAGTTCACGTTATTCTGATAAGTACAAAGCGGGGGTTGCGTCCAGTGACAATGGACATTTAAGTATAAATAAATGTATATCTATGTCATCCATTAACTCCACGCACAGACAATATCGACTCTATTGTTGTATATGTCATTTCTCTTAAGGGATTACGCCATCCTGGCGCTCGGAAAGATTTTATAGAATAAACTATTTTTAACACAGGCATTAAGTATAATAAAAACATATTAATTTTACACGAATACATAGTTACATCATAACAAGTCATAACTCACCTAAATAATATTTATGAATAATTTTATTTAAAACTAGCGATTAACTATCGCTTTGCTCCGGTTTTTCCCTAGGTACGTTTTGACGCTTAGTATGAAATAGATTTTTTTTTTCAATTTTTTTTTCGTGAATTTTTCCGATGTTTTAAAAGTTATTCTGCTAAACACAAAAAAAAAATTCTTGTTTAGAAGAGTAATAATTATCTATTATATTTTTTTTTATTTTCGTGTAAAAATGTCAGCTGTTTGAAAAATGTAGTTGAGTTTAAAAATTTATAACTTTCGAACATGACAGACACCCAATCAAAAAAGTCTACGTCACATTTTATATAAAAAAATAACTGTTGTCAACCAAATCGGTCGCGTAGATCGAGACATATCGTGTACACCATTTTGAAAAAAATGTAGTTTTGAGAAAAACGCAAAAGACTAAAAAAGGACGACGTGAGTGACTTAATATTTTTTTTTATTATATTTAATCTGCGGTTCCTGGACCATACATGAGAACTTCTATTGTTGCTGTGTTGGCCTCTTTAGTCTCCTGTTAAGCTCTTAAATTTGTTATGGATATTCGCTGAGAACCCGACTTTTAAACAAATTGCAGCGCGCTCGGGCCAATTTCAAAGTTTAATTGTATCAAGAGTATACACTAGTATATCCATCATTAAAATATACAACTTGCAATATAAGATACAATTTCAACAATTTTTGTATATTTTCAACGTTGTTTAGAGTATTGTTTTGTTTTGTATTATTATATTTGGAGTGCATTCTTTAACGTCCTAATAAATCTGCATCAGTTAATCTGTTGTATACCGGTATAAGGCTTTGGATCCTCATTACGGTCCATTCGTTATCAACCTACTCAAACACAACAAAAATAACAAAAATACAAAAAAAATAGGCTAAAAAAAGGTTTTTTTTTTTTAATTTCAGGGTGGCGTAAACCCTTAGTGGTATTGAAATTGACTAGATTTTATTTCCTAAGAAGTACAAGGTAGTACTAGACACAATATTTTATAGAGTTTAGATTTAGTCCGTTATCCTCTCATTAACGTACTCGTACTCATTTCCAATTTAATCCGATCGTAATACGTCCGTAGGATATTGAAACTATGTTTCAAATGCAACCCTCAAATGAGACTGTCCCTAACAGATTTATATTAAAACTACCCCACTCTACCTACGAATTATCAACCCCTATACGTCTATATCTATACTATCGAAGCAGCATTAATTTTCTCTATTATTTTCCATTATTTTATCATGACTTATACAGTGGGCGTTATATGGGAAGTGTTGGTTCAAATAAAAGTCGATGCAATCACAGTTGTATTTCAAATTAACAATAATCACTTTGTACATAGTTACACAGCACTTCACTACACAACCATATAGCAAGCACTTCACTTCACTATTACCACGTATAGACAATACGGAACGCAAGATAGTTCCTAGTGGAGCGGTCCTAAGCTTGGCTCGGCTCGAAGGCAAGTGTCCAGCCCTCTTAGCACCCCTCCCTTAGCTAGGCTCCGTCGTAACACGAAGCTCGCCGAGTGTTGGCGATAATACCGAAGGTGCTGCCATCACTCAGGCGTCGTGCTGCGCTTCGTTTAGCGACCGTATTGATGACCGTCTCCGACACGGCCATCCTGCGTGCACACGCCCTCGTGTGTTAGCCGTGTGTTAGCCTGCAACAAAATAATCAACGAAAATACTTGCTCGACTCGGTCAATCCTGACCAGATAAAACTTAACTTTGAATCTGAATCATCTTTATTCTTACGAAAAGCTTTAACGCTACACCTTTGTTTTTTTTTTTTTTAAACTCCAAGTCACTGTAACTATCTCTAATCTAACTAATAACATTAGTCATCCAGAGCCATGTACCAACATCATTCAACACTTCAGCAATCAAACTAATTTTCAAATTTACTAGCACCTCTGTAAACCACTCTTAGGCCACGGCTTTACAAGCCAACCAGCAATCACAATTGCTCCACATTCCAGGTGCATCCACTACGGGATCACCGTATGTATCATCCTCTCGATGACTACACACTATGGTCATAACAGACCCCGACCTCCGCCAGAACTAAACGCACATCACACACCCACGGTCTATTTAGTTTGAGCTTCCTCAAAAGACCGACTTTTACCAGGCTATGACTACGTAATAGTTACTAGTACGGTCGACACTACTACGGCCGTCAGAATGCTTACATCGGTTTCCATCGACTTCATTAAAACATTTGCTTGGCATGATGATCATTATTTACATCAACCTCTATTGGTACATGACCTACTAGAATTTTTATGTAAAGAATTTATAGCCGTCATGTTAATAGAAAACCTTTCAATATCTCATGTTCTATCATGATACCATTTTGTAACTAATAATTAGGCAAAACATAATATTTCAAAAGATTTCAAGAGAATGACCGTTAATCGTTACAAAACAAATTTTACTCTGTGCGGAATATTCTGTTTTGATCAATACTAGAAATTGCAAGGACAAAATCGTTAACCACACAATTTGACTGCTAAATGTTGTCTTACTAACGAATATTCAGCAACATGATTATAACAAAAGCAATACAGATTACCTCTATGCCATTGAGCATTCGAAGATGGTTGTACAACACATACATCCACGCGTCGTTCCGTTCGTGTTGCACCCATATTGCTGCCGTCCACTTGACTGGCACTACTTATGCACCGGAGCGTGATGTGACCAGGCTTGCCACATTTGAAGCAGACCAGAGACTTCACTGCAGGCTGCAATGCCGTTGCTGTCATCGAAGGTCGTTCCACGCTGTCATTTACCTTGCTTCTACACTCTGACCGCTTATGACTCACTTTTCTGCACTTATAACATTTTTACATTAGCTTGGCTCGTTTAGCATCAGGCACTTTTGAAAAATCGTCAGATAAACTAGCTTTGCGTTTCAAATGTGAGAATCGATCTCGCGAAGCAATTTTCGTAGTAAAGCCAATCGTTGTAATTTCGAATTAAACTGACATAAGTGAGCAAGGACAGTCGCAATTGCTATCTGATTCTTGCTAGCGTCTTTCCAACGATTAGTCTGTGATGTCATCAGGCGATTTGCGTACGTAACGAGTTTCTTTTTTCATTTGGTTTGTCACTGTTAAAATTAATTAGCGTACCAGCCAATGTCTCGGTGGAAATAAATCTCGCCTCGAAAATCACTTTGAACTCTTCCTATGTTATTCTCTGGTATACAAATTGTGACAACCACGTCGACCCTTATCCTTTTAATTCCTTACTGACTGTTAAAATAAGTTAGCCGCCGTATGGAGGGTATTCGGCAAAACACAAATCTATAGTCGCAAATCAAGATCTTGCGTCCGTATCCATATTGTCAGGGTCAAACTCGCGTAACTTGATGTTCTTCTTCATCCGAGGCATTTGCATGGCCTC